ACAGACTTTGTTCCTTGTTAGTGCCAGATGCAGAGTGCTGCCTGCTTGGGAGTTCCCTGCAGTAGCTGCTGCTGTCACTCCCATGCCATGAGCATGGTGGCAAAGGCAGCAACAGCAATAGGCAGGAAGCACATCTATGCTCTGGAACAGGCACAAGCAGCCTGCTGCTCTCTGAAGGCTGTTCTCTCACGTAGCCTCAACATGGCTGTGCTTTTCTCCAAGCATTTCCACACAGTTGAAAAAAAAATGAAAAAGCATAGAAAAGGCTGGAAGTGCTTAAGGACGAGCTCCTGGAGTCCTCAACTTCTCCTTTCCTTCATGCCATGGCACAGCATGTAACACCCTGCCCCTGGAAGAACAACAGTGGGGTGAGGAAGAAGACTGAGGGTAAGGGCACATACACATTTGCTTTGCAAAGGTTCAGCAGACATGCAGCATCACAGCCACTGTCTGCAGAGAAGAAAGGAGCAGGACAGGCAAGCAAGAGCTCCAGATCTACTCTCCTAGCACATAGCAGAGTGGATCATTTTAGTTCTCTGAGATCCTCTCCACCAGCCTGTGTAAAGAGTCAGGCAGAAGAATGGAAACATTCCCTTCTGGCATAAGAAGTGACACTGTGACAAGCAGGAGAGATTCTGTCCCTTCCATACCACTGCCTGGTGAGCATGGGAAATAAGAAGCTCGCTCAGAACTGGGGCACTAAAACCCCAGCCTAGAGCAATGCCACTCCCAATGCTGTAAGCAGCAGCAAGAAAGCACTGGATTTCAAAGCTCTCCAGCTTATTGCATATAAATGTCAGATTAAAATGTGCTTTCTTGTCTGACTCTGCTTTGCACGTTTTCTATTCAGTTTTCTACTACTGACAGGCAAGCAGTACTAAGACAGCCACTTCTTTAAAACATGTTCTATTTGCTGTTAAAAAGTGACGCCACCTACAAAACCCAGCACTGCACTGTTACCAAAACCACCCCCTCTCAGCAATGACAGCCCTGCTTCAGAGACAGAGAATCAAAGTCGCGGTGTCTGCACACCAAAGGCAAACGTTGCATGTAGCTAAGAATATCATCCACACAGCTTAGCATTAAGCTCTGTGACGTCTTCAGGAAGACATTCAGTAAGTATATTTTTTCCTTCTTCTGTCCCACATTCAGCAAAACTGCCGTGGAAAAGACCATGAAGAAAACAAAGCAGGAATGAAGCTAGATGGGTCAAGATACTTGAAGCACCTTAGAAAAAAGCATGTCCACGTGGCTTTTTGCCCATCTTCAAGATCCCAAACTTGTTATGATCTACATTTCTATAGCGTTTCAAACTCAACCTACATCTCTGCTCATTTTTCCTCTCTTTTTGCTACTCACAGTAGTCAGCCTCTTTTTCTCCCACCACTGCACTTCTTATTTAATAGTGTCCAAACTCCCTTCCATCTCTGCCACTAACCAGAAAATTCACTCCCAGTGACTCATCTCCAAAAAGGCTGCAAAACCTTAGAGATAGGCCCTGCAAGCTGTGAATGCTCTTTGTGGAGGTCTTTTGGGATGGAAACATTTTTGTGTTTGTGCTTGTGCCATGCTTACAGCTGAGTTCCTGGCCAACAGGGAGCTGAACACCAGGACAACGACATTCCTGGAGAGATGCCACATGCTTCTGGGTTCCAGCTCTGTGAGAGGGGATATAAGTGAATCTGAGTCTGAAATACATTCTTTGGAAACACCCAAACAGACACATTGTAGCACTGGAAAGTCTGTGAGTGATCCAGGCTCATGCGTCCCTGATCCCAAGGTCCCATTCTGTGTTCCTCCTGCCCAGCAGCCCAGGTAATTGAAAAAAATCATTATGGCTCCCTTTCTTTCTATTTTCCCCCATGAGATATGCTCAGATGAGAATGGATTAGGATAGGATCGTTCAGCTCGAACGGACCTTCAGTGATAACACAACCATGAAATATTCAGAGCTGGCCGGGACCCACAAGGATCACCATGTACAGCCCCAGGCTCCACACAGCACCACTCAAACCAGTGGGCGGTTCCGTGTCCCAGCTCCGGGCCGTGCCCATTGCCACGTGCAGCCTGTTACATGCTGTGGGACACAGCCTTTCTGTAACCCCCTCCTGCCCACTCCCCTGACTCAGCTCCACGCCGTTCCCTCGGGTTCCATCGGTTTCCAGCAGCAGAGACCGCACCTCGCCCCCATTCCCATTTTACAGGGAGCAGCGACGTTTTCTCTCCGCCTCTGCACCCCGACCCGCTCACCAGCTCCCCCACGCCCCTGCCCACCCCGGACGCCTCCAGGCCTGAGGACAGCCATGGGCGCAGCTGGGGCCACGGTGCCCCACTCACCGCCTCACCCCGAGCTCCAGCCCGCTCGTGGCTGAGACCTGCACAGCCCCACCGAGGCCGGGGCCCGCTCGCACTCACCGGGGCCCGGCGCCGTCGCCGGCTGTGGCCCTGCCGCCCGCCAGCCCCACCGCCACTTCCGGCCACCTGATAGTGACGCACTTCCGGTCGTACGGGAGCCGAGAGGGGAGGGGTGAAAGCACGGCGAGAGACTCGGGGTGCCGGCAGATGGCGGCGGCGGAGCGCTATACCAGAGTCACGTGGTGCGCTGCTAGAGGCACGTGACAAGGGCCCGGAGCTACCTCAGCGGGGTGCCGCCATGTTGGGGCTCCTCAGGGCTGCCTTGTGGGGGGGCTCCTGGGCTCCGGGTTGTGTCACCGCATGAACTGAGCCAGGCTCCGTCCCGTTGCACCTCCCGTGCAACGTGGCCGTGGATAGGATCTCCCTGAGCCTCCCCTGCTCCGTGCTGAGCTCTCTCGTTGGAAAAGACTAATAGGATCAGCAGGTCCGACTGATGACACACCTGTGGAAGGAGATGGGGCTGAGTGGGATCTTGGCATAGGAATGGGGTAGAATTAGCTCGTGTTGGGTGCACAGTGCTTGGGCTGGCTCAGGCACCTCTGCAGGGCCATGGCTGACATCGTTGTCTGGGTTTTGTCATCCCCACTGTGTCCCCACCTCAGGTCTGACTCAAGTTTGGACGGGCTGTTTGCATTCAGCTCAGTATGAAGGAACACATCACTCCAGTTTTGTCTGTCTCAGTAATGCGTGTTGTTCCAGTGGCTTTGGATCAGCCTTGAATGTGACTCTGGGAGCTTGATGTGGGAGGAATTCACAGAATCACAGAATGACCAGGGTTGAAAGGAACCTCAAGGATCATGAAGCTCCAACCCCCCACCACATGCAGGGCCACCAACCTCCACATTTAATACCAGCCCAGGCTGCCCAGGGCCCCATCCAACCTGGCCTTGAACACCTCCAGGAATGGATGAGGCATCCACAGCCTTTCTGGGCAGCTGTTCCAGCACCTCTCTGTAAATAATTTCCCCCTGACATCCAACCTCAATCTTCCCTCCCTTAACTTAAAATCGTTTCCCCTTGTCCTGCTGTCACTCACCCTTTGAAAGAGTTGATTCCCCTCCTGTTTGTAGGCTCTCTTTAGGTACTAGAAGGCTGCAATGAGGTCACCCCACAGCCTTCTTTTCTCCAGGCTGAACAAGCCCAGCTCCCTCAGCCTGTCTTCGTAGGGGAGGTGCTCCAGCCCCCTGCTCATCTTTGTGGCCCTCCTCTGGACCTCTTCATTGATTTGGGAGTGAATCAGTTGCCCACGTGTAGAGGACTGGGTTCATCTGAGTGCTGTGGGGCTGAGAGACAGCACATCTGTGAGAGGTGTTGCTCAGTCAGCTGTGGAACATCCCCATCTAGACTGAGCCAAGGTTAGACCTCAAACAAATCATGAAATCATCAAAGTTGGAAAAGAGCACTAAGATCTTCTAGTCCAAGCATCAACACATCACCACCATGCCCATTAAACCATGTCCATCAGATGTTCCTGTCTCACCACTGCTGCCACCACTGTGGCTTTGTGCTGCCCACGAGCTTGTGATGCTTGCTCTCAAATGCATGCAGAGCCTGAGCAGCCCTTGTGCCTAGGAAGCACCCCATCCCTGGAGATGCTTAGGGCTGGGTTGGATGGGGCAACCTGATCTGGTGTGGGGCAACCAGCTCAAGGGAGGGGTTGGGACTGGGTGAGCTTTAAGGCCCTTTCCCATCCAAACCATCCTACTATTCTATGATTGTGAATGCAGGACTGGAGATGACCATCTGCTTGAAGGGATAGTCATGTACACGTGTGTTGCTCCACTCTGCTCCACTTATCCCCTTCTCCTCCATGATGCCAGCCACCTCCTCATCCTCTGGGCCATGCTTCCATCTAATGGGCTACAAGGAAGTAGGTGTCTGGCTGTGCTGGTGTGGCTTTTCTTCATGGGCCATCTCCAGGTAGCCCCCAAGCACCATTCCCCAGCCCACATCCCTCCCAAAATCCCTCATGGTCTTGCTTCTTCTCCCATTTGCAACACAACCAGGCAAGCCACACAGTCAGGTTTTTAAAAGGGGCCTTTCTCCATTTTATTTTGCTCAATAAAAATCCTTCACAGTCAGATAGAGATAGGAGAGTGAGAGATACGTATACATATAGATCTTCATATATATTTATATATATACATACCTCTGTACAGATATATATATATTCACTGTAGAAAATCGCAAAGGCAGTAGCTCTTCACATCTTTATAACCCCATGGAAACATACAACAGACTAGCAGTAGATTGTGAAATGTGGTATAGTTTTAACAAGAGTTTTCTAAATGGATACACCTTCGCTGTACAAAAATCCCAGAATGCTGCATTTTATCTCTTCATTTTTCAACCTCTTCTCTTTAAATACACTGACCAGAGGCAAAGTCAAGACAACAGTGTTTGGAAGTGATCGGTGGACAGGAGAGACACCCAACCTTATGGAATTCTTTTTAAATACTTTATTTTTATTTTTATTTTTTTTTAAGTTTATATATAGATATATATATATAATTTTTTTTTTCTTTTTCTTTTTCTTTTTCTTTTTTTTTTTTTCTTTATTCTTTTTTTTGCAAAGTCTCATTAAACGCAGTTCAGAGAACCAGCAACAGTCAACGCAGAACAAACAGTAACAGAGTCGAGTTCAGAACACTTCTGGTTTGAATTCACAGTAAGAGCAGAGAGAGATCGAGGCTTCAAGAAACAAACAGAGGAGGGGAAGCACAAGGCTGGGGTGGAATTTACAGTCAGGCAGGTCCAAAACGTTGGACAAAGGGTCTGATGCAGAGATCCTACACACACAGCCTGGAAAGCTCTGGCTGCTCCCCCACGGGGCTTTTATTGCTGGTGAGATCAGACAACAGGCTTGCTTGGGGCACAGGCTCGCCCAACCTGACATCCCACTATTGGGGAGCTGGGTTTTAGGGGCCTATTCTCCTAGAAAAGAGACACAGAAACCGGTGACTAAGAATGTGCATCTATTTTGGATGAGGAAACCCTCGCAACCTTACTGCCCTGTGCAAGGTGAAGGCTGAGAGTGAGTCCTGAAGGGCCACCTCTCAGCTCACAGCATTTATCGGGTCCACATGAGTGCAAACAAAGACACCTCGGAGGGAGACCCAGCCTCCTTGGGCTGGGCTCTGCAGGGACACTGCTGTGTGGGAAAGGACTGCATAGACTCATTGGCCAGTTGTGCAGCATTTTGGCACCGGTGGCAGTGCGTTTTTGCACCGGTGTCTGAGCTCTACCTGGACATGTTTGCTCCCTTCAGCTACTGGAAGGGAACCCGTGTGCCACCATGGGCATTTTCTTCTCTGAGAGAGTTCCTAGGACAGCCTGGCTCCCAGGAATGGGAAAGCTTTGTTTCCCATTGGTGTGTGGCTGTCATCAAATATGACTTTTGGGTTCAGACACCTCTGGGGATCCAGTGGTTCCCATGTCAGTGATCTGCAGTGAGCTGACTGGCTGCAGGCACACAGTAACAGTCATGGGATGGGCACCAAAGGAGGATGGACCACACATCCCAGGGACCCACACTGATTGCCTGCTGGACATGGGCTCTCTGAAGGAATGGGGACCACCAGGCTCACATATTTTTCACATTCCTTATACGGAGCCAGACCTGGCCTCACATTGCTTTTTGAAGGACAGCCCAGAACTGGAGTTACGATGGTATTCAAGAGAACACTGGATTGCCTGCAAGTATCAGAGTTGGGAAGAGTCCTTTTTAAATCTCCCTAAAAAACCTATTGCTTTGTGACAGAAAGCAGAGACTTTCTGCTTAGAAAACAGATCTGTAGAGGAGCCCTGAAAACACAACCGTACATGCCAGAGGTTGTCCCAGGATCCAGATCTGATGCAATCCCCCTTAATGGAGAGAAACTGGGAACAGGCTTATCCTGAAAGTGCACAGGCTTATTTCTGTTTTGCTGACAGTTGTGCTGCCAATGTGGAACATCTGATTGGGAAGCTGACATCTGAAAACTGATGAATGTGATCCCAATACCTCACTGCCCCCATGGGGACCCAGTGGCACGGGAGCTGTGTGATCAAGGTTACTTTTGTGTCCCTTACACCCCTGCCTTTGCAAAAGGTGGAAGGACCGGGGAAGCCTCAGAGCTGGCTGGGTTTAGTATTGTGATGGTGTGAAGCCCCATGCAGTGATCTCAAAGGATTAAAGGCCATGGAGATGTCCTTCAGCAAGAAGCAAGATCTCTCATGGAGGTAAAACAGGGCTGATGTAGCTGACATGGGAATGATGGAGATGTGAGGATCAGTAGTCTAGAAAGTTCCTCTAAGGGCAGGGTCAGGGCAAGCTGCTCTCAGTGTAAGCTCCTGCTTGTTAATGGAAGTATCTGGGAGAGAACTGGGAAAGGCAGTGAGTGTTCCTGGGACAGTGTTACACCAATGAACTGAAATCAGGCAGGAGAGTCTGGAGAGCTGATGCAGAGGGGCAGCAGGACACAGGCAATATCATGAGCAGATCCTCAATGAGGGATCTTGGTGAAAGGTAACTCTGCCCTTTAAGGCTTTGACTGAAAGATAGGGTTATAGTAACAGCAAGCAGGACACGTTCCAAGACAGAAGAGGGCTGCCACTGCCCATCAGCAGGCTGTTATTCCTGACAGAAATGGAGCAGAGCTCAGCACAGCCATGGGGCAGAAGCATGGTGTAGGGGCATATGGCAGGTGCTGAGGATGCTCAGTGGTGATCTGGGGAAGGGACAAGGGGACAGTCAGAAGAACTGGCTCTAACATTTTCCTGGCCCATTCACACTGAACCAGAACAGGCCTTTGACTGCTGAACTATAGAAGACCTGTGGCTCTGAAGACAAGTGTAATGGCTTGGCATGCCTCCTTACAGATGAACTCCTTACTGCTCAAGAAAAAAGGGGAATCAGATCCATCCTGCCTCCTGAGTCCCTACTCACCCTGGGTGACACATGGAGCTACTTGGCACCAAGGAGGACACTGGCATCACCAGCTGGGGACAATCGCCTCACCCTGGAACTGTGAAAAGTACCCTCCTTTCTACCCTGTCCTCTCTCCCAGCCCACATCAGTCTCTTCCTTCCTGGGAAGGCTGGGAGTCAGCTCCAAGCACACTGTCCAGTGCTTTCCAGAGATCTTTGGTCACATTTTTCAGAGCTCGCTGTCTCAAGCAAGCTGTAAAGTGCCACAGTGAGGGACAGGAGTGGGGTGGGTTGGTCCTTCCCATGGGGCTTGGGGGGACACCACTGGGAGCCCCAGTGCAGGAGGTTTCCTGGGGATACAAGATGGGCAGGGGGACTTCAGCCTTAACCTGGGCGCAATTGTAAGTCCTGGCTCAGGGTGAAAGCAAGCATGGAGGCAGGACAAAGTGACACCAGGCTGCTCTCTTGGAGCTGATCCCAAGCAGATTGCTTTCCTGGGATTTGCTGAGCCTTATCCATTTCCATTGCAGCCAATAGAAGCTCAGAGGGTGCTGAGCACCCTCTAGATAATGCTCAGTGCCCAAATGCAACATCTGCTGCTACTTCCAACCCATTCACTGGTATAGAAGCCACAAAACTTTCTTGTCTCTTCATTTAATCATTCTTATATAGAGCTGGGCTGTTATTAACATCCAAGTACGCTTGTCTCCATAAAACACAGCAGTCTAAGAACAATGACTGAACTTCTATCTTGAGTGGAAACCCAGAGGTGATCTCCCTGTGGCATTACACCAGTGACAGCTGGAACTCCAGCTGGCTGCCACGAGACACTGGCAGAACCTAAGTGGGAGTGTGTGAAGCACAACATGTGATGGTTGCTGCGTTCACAGCCAGGAAGAGACAGAAATGCTGGCTGTGCAAAGGGTGCTACCTCAGTTGGGTGGGCACCTTGTAGCAACAAGGTCACAGCAGCTTCACCCTGATGGTGGAGCAAATCAACTTCACTCACAGGAACTGGTAAGAAGGGCTGCTTGCACCTCTGCTTGCACCAGGAGAGCTGGTCAGCCTAAGTCTTCATGGGTGGAATTTGCTGGAGTTAATCAGTGCCCTGCATTTGTTCATATAATAGCTGTGTGCATGCAGCATGACTCAGTTTCCTGCATATGGGTGGTATGCCACTAAGAATGCTCCAGCTCTTCCCACCACTGGCTGGTTCTTCCACAGGGCTTGGATAATACTGGCCTGCCCCATGTATCAGGTATCCCAGACCATCTCTAGTGGCTCTAAATCCCATCTGTGGGCAACTGACCTGAGCCCCTTATGAATCAAAGCTCTTACTGTTAGAGATGAGTTATAGGCAAGTTAGAGATAAATTGTTTCAGTAAAGACTGATCACATGCAAGATTTTGAGGGCAATACCAGAACCTGAAAGTACATCACATGGATTCCCATCAGCTCTAGAGCTGGATGAGCAAAGATGGACGGGATACCTGGGATATGGTCAAGCCCAAACTCTCTAGGACAGAAACTTTTTACCAACCCTGTCTGAACTTCAAAGGAGGACAAGATGTGACTCTTCTTGGCTGTTCTTAGGATATGTCATCAAAACACTATTTTGGCACCTGGGCAGCAATCAGACAACCCTGTTGCTTCCAGGTTTCACTGGGACTGTCAAGACACATTCACCCTTGCAAAAAAAAACCAAACCCCTAAACATCTGGGAAAATAATGACAGAGCAAGCCTTGCAAGCGGAGGGCTTGCCTGATTGCTGCTGGGGGGATTCAGGTATGTGGGGAGGCCAGATGAGTCTGTTTTTCCTGCCCTTGGATTAATAAGGAGCTCTGGTGAGAAGGTGTCCCACAGGATGATGCTGGTGCCAGTTCCTCTTGGATGTTAACACAGTGGAGAATTATAACGTATACCTCCTAAACATCAGATACTCAAAATTCAATCAGTGTAGGTGTTCTTGAGCCACTGATTGAAAGCCTGGTTCTTGCGATGGTTAATGGGAAACAAACCTCAAATTCAGCAGGGCTGGGAGGAACAATGACTCAACAATGAAATAGATCATTGGACCCATCTTATTACCAGGGTAAGATTTTTGTTGATGGATTGTTTGCTTTTTGTGTGGTGGCGTCAAAATCATCAAGAGACAGGCATTTGAGACTTGAAACTTCTTGCATTTCTTACAGTTTCTCTATGCTTTGCCCTTTTGTCCAAGGACTGAAAAGCCCTTCACAAGCACAAGGCCCTGTCCGCTGCTTTGGGATGGAAGAAGATACAGGTTTATCTGATGTGGAAAGAGAAGCACAGAAAGCTGAAATAACACAAGACACCATATCTTCAAGCCTGTCATTGTGAAATGTTCTGCTCCATCTAGAAAGCTCAGTGTATGAAATGGAGGAAGCCCAAGGATCTACCTGCTAAGGGTGTATGCAGCATATGTAGGATGTCTTTGGAGCCTCTGGCTCAGGCTGCAGCCTCTGAAACACCAAAGCAAAGAGGAGGGCTGGCATGGGGACCAAGGCCCGGCTCCATTGATTCCAGCAGGTTGAAGCAGTTCTGTGCCAATGACCTTCTGCCAGGTCCTTGCTGGAGGACTGGAGTTTTGAAATACCCTGGTCTCATTGCACATCTCCATTTTTTTACAGCTCCAGGGATCACTGCCAGCTACCAGCAGTTCCTCCCTGTAATACTGTCTGTTGACCTTGGCTGGAGGTTGGTGAAATCAGTGGAGTCCCTTCTGTCCTGCTCAGCCTCTTTGCTCAGTCTGGAGCTCACCACAACAGCACGTGACTCCAGCTTGAAGGTCAGATCTGGTGACAGAAAGGGGAGTGCTCAGAGGGAAGGGAATGTGGAAGGAAAGTGGCTTCTGGACTTTTGTTTGAAAGGTCTTCAGCCTCTCAACACTCTGAGGTTCTTCCTTATTGTGCAGGTGTTATCTGGCCAAACTCTCCCTGAAGTCACGTCATACAGGCATCCCAAAATGTAAATTCTGCCTTTGTTCTTCTAGCTGCTCCTTAGGGAAAAGAGCCTAAATTTCTACTTGCATTGATCCTTTGGCCACTGCCCAGTCAGTGCAAATCCCACTTTACAGCACTTTTTACTCTTTGCTGCGGATCATGGTAGAAAAGTGTCTGTGAAAGGAAGAATTTTGCCCGCCTTTTGAAGTGAAATGCTGTGTTTTGATGCCTGCATCATTTTCAGTGAGTGCACATGTAGGATTTGGTTATTATTCTGCCAGGGCATAAGCACTTGTATGATCTTAAGTATTGTCTCTTTTTATGAATGCTCTCATACTCAGAATTAGTAGCTGACAATTTTCTTAAGCTGGCCCTGCATTATCTATAATCCTGGAATATATGATGCCATGTGGGATCACGATGGGCACTATTCCAAATGGTTGTGCTGAAGGCTGATGCTCACTTCCCTCACTGCAATCTAGTGGTAGTGCTGATATGTGCTCCCTGCAGCTCCTGAGTGAGGCTTAGATGCCATTTGTAAATAGACCCTGGGCAGAGAGAATGCACCAAACTGCCTCTCTTTTGGGAATGGGTTAGTACAATTGTCCACTATTGGGAAACTGCTAAAGCTTCTGTTTGCATAAACAACCCACAAGTTTGAAGGCTTCCCCAAACCTTGTTCCATTGACTGTGGGAATTCAGAGGACTCTGGAGAAAGGGAACTAGCTTGGATCTAATTTTTTTTTTTTTTTCCTTTCTGTATCCAGCATGAATATATTTAAGAACAGAGGGATCAAGGCAGAGGTGGGAGGGTATTTATGCTCCCAGGATTGGGTCACAACCCAGGAGGCAAGTGGAAATGAAGACAGAAACCACAACAAAACGAAAACACAGCATGTACCAAGCTCTGTTGAGCCTCAAACAAGGCTCCTACTGGGTAACCACTCCTTGTTGGCTTATGTTACCAGGACAAGCTCACACTGCTTCACAAGTAGGTCCTAACCTCTTGCAACCATGCTAGCCATGGGCTGCGAGAGAGAGTCATCTGGTGGAGATATGTCTGGTTTCACTGAAATCAGTGGCCAATCTCTCACTGATTTCACTAAGACCGTTGTCTAGACAAGATACTTGATGCAAAACAGTGAGATTGCTCATGATCCCAAGAGCTTTGCTCCATTAGCCAATGTGGCTAAAAATGCCCTGAAAAAAAAACAAAAAACAAAAAAAAAAAACCTGCCAAATTTGCACTGTTTTGCTGCACATAAGTGCTTGGAAAACCAAAGAAACCAAGTACAACCCTCCAAAACAACCAACCAAAGAGGGGTGAATTGTAGGAGAGGGGATGGCAGCCTCTAGTGAAGTAACAGTCACGGCAGATTACAAATGAGCCAATTGACCCTCACCAGCTGTACTAGGAAAAAAAAAACCAACCAAACAAAGAGATGTCGCATTATCGATAGAAAAACAACGCACGTCCACAGTTATTTACCTACAGAGCACAGAAGAATAGAGTAAGGGTGATGGAGCTGAGTGCAAGCCACCTCACACCGCTCCTATGGTATCGTGTTATCCTTCAGAAGACCACTGGCTTGAGTAGGTAGTACATGCACAGCAATAAAAAAAATTATGGGTATTGTCTTGGTCCCACCTCAGATCTCAGTGGACTCTATTCGCTCCAGCCTGGAAGGAGTCCACGTTTTTTTCTCCTCGGTGTGCGGTGGGCTGGTGGTCTTTGTGTTCATCTCGTTCACCTTGTGCTCCAAGAGTTGGTTCTTCTGGTACATCTCCACGTAGTTCAGCTGCAGCTGCTTCTGGTACTTGATGACTTTCTCCTTCTCTTCTTGCCACGTGCGCCGTTCCTCCTCGAAATCCATCACCTGCTGCTCCCGTTGCTGCCGCTCCAGCTTCAGCTCCGTCTGCAGCCTCTCCACCTCCTTCCGCAGCGCGTTGACGCTGTCCTCGCTGCTCTGCCGCTGCATCTTGGCTTCGTCGCTTTCACAGGCCAGCGGGTCCTGCAGCTTCTCAGCCAGGTCCCCACCAAAAGACCCCGGAGGTCCCATGCTGGCAAGTGTCCGCTTCAGTCCTGACACCTCCAGCTCACAGTGGTTCAGTTTTTCCCTCAGCACCTGGACCTCGCTCATCTTCCGCTGCAGCTCGCTCTCGCAGATCTCCAGGTTGACGCTCTTGGAGCTGTAGGAGTCCTTCAAGGTGAGGATTTGTTCCTCCTTCTCCCGGAGGAAGTTCTTACCTTCTTTAAGCTGTGTCCGCAGCCCCACAATCTCGTTCAGCTTTTGGGAGACGTCCGCTTGGGAATCCTTCAGTTGCTGCTTAAGCAGGGAGATCTCACCCGCCTTCTGGCACACCTGTGGGGAGAGCTTTAATGAGGCAGGGGGAAAGCAGCAAGGAGGCACCACCTTTGCTTGTCCTATAGGACCCACAGGTTGTTTCTGTAGTAGTGGGGGACATTTGGAGCTCAGGGATTTGATGGTGTTCCCAGAGTTAACCAGAAAGCTGAGCTAAGCGCTGTGGCCCACACCAGTGGTGAGCTGACACCAGTGTTTCCCTCCGTTCACATTCCACATATAACAACAAGCCTGTGGTGTCTGACCTTAAAACCCTCTGCACTCTGCAGGAGTTATCCCACTGACCTCAGTGGGTGCTGGACTTTGAGCAAGCCTGAGATGGAAACATCTCAGACCCAGAGACCAGCCAGGCTCTCCCCAAACACTAAGGGTGTAGGACAGGATACAAAGACAGTGGATATTACCTATTTGCTGTATGATGCTCTCCTTCCCAAATATTCCTAAAGAACCCAGTTGGCAAGCTTTTAGTGTTCACTGCACTGGGGACAGTCCAGGGACTGGTAGCTATTTAATTCCTTTGGATTAGTGCATGAGGAGAGACAGCCCTCTCTGCTAAATATCAAGGTGAGAGATGCAGCTGACTCTTGCTGAACTGGGGCTATCATGCACAGGTTTCATCCTGACTGCCTCCAGTCTCACCCAGATGGTTAGGAACAGAAGTCCTATGCAAACACCTAGTGGAAATACCCCTGCTGCAGTGTGTGTATGTGCTGTGTAGGTGGCACAGTTATTATATGACACATCTCTAGTTCTGCTTAATCCAGCAAATGTCAACAAAAGTGTTGAAAAGGATCTGTAAAAATGACCAAACCCTTATTTTCCCATGGACTTGGGGGTTTCCATGTCTTTGTATTAGCAGATCTGCCTCTGGACGATTGCAGAGAAAATCTGTGCTGGCAGGAATCTGGGCAGGGAAGCAGCACCAAGTGATCAGAGAGGATGAACATAATTAAAAAACAGACTTGGTAGCCACCTCCAAGGCTGGATATCCTGCCTTCCTGAAGTCCCTGTCTCTTGTCACGCATGATATATTTGTCCTTTTCTCCATTTATCAGCATCTGCAAGAACCCTTCCTGTTGGGAAGGATGCTCCTCAAATAAAATCTCCACTGCCTTCATTGCAACCTCAGTTTTTCTCAGCTGTAGAAGACTACTCTGGTGCATAATACTGAGCAAAGCCTTTAAGCTTAGCAATCTGTATGGTCCATTGTCAGCAGCTGAAGAGCTAGGAGACATACCCACAGTCAGTTCCTACAGATAGCAGCTTTTTCTGGAGCTCAAAGACATAAATCTGAGTACTCACATCCACCCCAGTGTTTCTCTGCAGCAGATGCAGAACAACATCACGCTGGGTTAGCTGTAGTTACAGTGACACAGTTAATGCTTAGCTAAAAAAGTGCACAATCCCAATCGTGGGTTTACTGGAAGTGCTCTCCGTGGGCTAGCTCTTCCCAAAAGGCAGAGAAATACATGATGAAGAACAGCTTGGATAAGAAGCAACTAACAGATTAAAACACTTAAATTTTGGTCTTTAGTAGCATGCTGGGGAAATTTAGGCAATACAGTCTCTGGAGTTTGGAGTGTATCTCAGTCAATGAGAATAGGTGTCTACAAATTTTAGGTGTCTACAAATTTTAGGTGTCATGATCCATCAGCTGAATCCCATCTCTTTGCATCTCTATCACTGGGTTAGCTGCTGCAGACTGAACTAGAGTAGTAAATAATCAAAAATCATTTGGTGGTTTTACCAGTACAAAATCAGGAATCTTTCCAGACCTAACTTAATGGAAGACACACAAAACGTGGGCAGAGCACCTGGTCAAAGGAGGCATCATGTTGGACAAGGAAGCCTTGCTTGTCCTGCATGTAACTTGCAGAGATTTTAGAGCAAGCCTCTAATAAGCTCTGCTGAATATCTCCAAACAGTGTGTTGCAGAGCCCTAATTAATCCCACTTCCACTGACTTTCCATCAGGATTAGTAGAATAGGGCCTTCATGATTCTAGAGCTACTTTTTTTTTTTTTTTTTTTCCACTGCAGCCTTAATAAATTTAAAGTTTCTAGCCAGTCCATGGAAGGATTAAAATTCTTTGCATGATCAAGCTGAAAAAAAGCCACCAAAACTGTGTTAGCACTGGCTATTCAAATGGGGTTTGATAAAATGTTCCAAAAATAGAAAACAGAAGTAAAAAAATATGTAAGACCTGGAAAGAGGAATTTGCCTTTCAGCCTTTTGAAAGAGATCAACTTATTAGCAACCGAAAACAGGGCATTGCAATGGAAAGCATGAAGTCGGCTTGGCTATTGGTATCATCCTTAGCTCATTTGTTTTAGATCTTCAACAAGCACAAAAATCAAATATTTGAAAAGCCATTTCAAGCTTTGCCCAAACGCAGGTGTTAGAAGAATTTAATTAAAATAGGCTTAAACCCAATTTTGGGAGGCACAAATACCTGTATGGAGAAAGCTTTATTCACTGAAACTGGATTCAAATGTCCCACATTGCAGTGACCTGACTGTGAAGCCTAATTATTAACCAGCTCACAGGACGTGCACGCAAAAAATTACTGCACTCATTTTATTTTAATTGAAAACTGTAGGTTTGAAGCTCAGACACGGAGAAGTGGCCAAAGTATCTCCTGTTATCTAGAGGCCACGCACCCACAGCCCTTGTCTTGGGCTGCTGGTGGGACCAATGGATGTACTTTGGGTCATCAATGAAAACCTTGCTCAAGATTTCTTACAATAATGCTCTTACCTCCCACTTGGTCTCTTCAATCTTTGGGAGAAACTCAGCTTGTTCCTTCTTGAAAGCCACAAATTTCTTCTCCAGCTCCTCTCGCTGCTGGAGGAGTTGCCCCATGTCATCTTGGAGTTTTTTTTTCTCCTGCTGCAGCTTGAATATCTGGAGCTGCAAGGCCTGTTGTGCCCGCTGCGCCTTTTTGGAGACCTGCTGCAATTTGTTGGCGTAGTTTTGCCTGAGATCCTCCATTTCCCGCTCCCAGATCTTCTGCTTCTCCTCAAACACTTGGAAGATGGCTGCCTCGCTTTTGTCCAAGTTCCTTCTCATCTGGAGGACCTCCTGCTCCTTCTCCCACAGCCTGTCTTCCAAGTCTTGGATGATGTCGTCGGTGGAAGGAGAGTGGAAAGGCATCGTTTCATTGAGATGGTTCAGTCTGTTGAACGAAGAGGTGCTCTTGCTCGAAGACCGGCCGCTGTCTGAGGTAGATATCCCGTTGTATCCCACGATGTTCTTGTCCGTGTAGGTCGTGCCGATGCGGTTGATGTGGCTCGTCGAGGCGCTCATCGGGCCCACGTGCTGGCTGTAGCCTGTCCCATACGTGGGCAGACTCGTTAACGAGTTACGACCCGAATCCGAAAGGCCTCCCACTTGGTTTGTAGTCCTGTTAAGGCTGCTCTTGTCGAGTCCACTTTTGGGTGCAGATGGGCTATTGCTGTTGGCATGGTTCAAGCTCTTTCTGTTCTCTGTCACCCCGTTGCTCTGCGGCGGGCAGAGGTTCTGCATGGAATGGAAGTTTTTAGGAACTACTGGTTTAAAGGCTGAGGGTCTAACTAAGGGCTCATTGCTCTGCAAAAGGAAAAAGGATCACGCATCAAAGACAGCAGGATGTTTGATAATGACACACACAAGAGATACATCAACACAGGCTGGGTCTGGTGGAGCTGAGGTCTTTCCAACTAGCTAGTTCCATATTTCTCAGCCTTAACACACCCTGGGATTTAAATTTGGGATTTAACATGTGAAACCTGAGAGGAGTCAGCCACACGTAAGTTAACACTACATATTCCTTTGTCCCAAGTGAAAAAAGATCTTGACGTGTCCCAAATCTGCATGATTTTTTCCCAGAATAGTCCATTGGTCCTCTTACCATTGCTCTTTGCTAAAAGAACAGTTGCCACCTGTTTACCAGACCTGATGAAAACAACTTCAATTTTGGCAGATTACATTCTGAAGGACACCTAGATTGGAGGGCGCATTTCCCTTCTGCTGAAAACTGAATTAACCCCATGGATGAGCAACTGTCCTGCTCTAGAAGCACAAGGCAGTCAGCTCTCCTCTACATGGATATCATATCCTTCATGCACTAGGCAGGAGTAGATGGGATCTATGGCCCCACCATGGTGATGCTGGGCAAGTAACATGCTGAAGCTGCTCCTGATTTAATTTTTTTGTTTGCTGTGAGCAGACACAATGCTGGAGGGAAAATGGACTGCAGCTGCAAAGGATTTACAGAGGATTTTAGAACCTCTGAAGCCTTGCACATTCCTCTCCCCATGAGTGCATCTACAGAAATAAAATCTTCCTCTAAATAGAATCGAGTCTTCCCTACTGTGGGTTGGGCTTCAGGTGAAAATTAGCCCAGAGGAACCAGCCTTGTATTTGAAAATGCCTTGCAGAAGAAACAAAAAGAGCCCTGGTGAGCAGGCAAGGCTGGATACCAAAAATCTGGCATCTGCCACGTGGGATTGAGATGGACTATGGGAGCCATCAGGTTAATGGCCCACGAGACAAGGCCACCAAATGCTGCAGAAACGACACTGCTTCTGGCAGCATCCCCAGGACAGAAATTATGGGATCTGCTGGAGCAGAGCAGCAGGCTGCATAAAACATCTGGGCTCTGGGCATCCTCTAAACTGATATGAACCATGAGAACTGTGCTTGGACAGGGAATAATGTTTGCAGAGGTAGTTTACAAGCCTCATCAGATTGTCCCTCACCAGGAGCACTAGGATTTTGAACAGATACACACAGCTTCATTCAAGTAAGACCTTTCTGTGGCAGTGGGCTGTAGAAGATGGCTTGTAAATGGCCCCAAAATAAGAATTTGACTGATGCTGGGCTGACTGAAAAGAGAACCAGCTCCAGTTCTCCCTTCTGTCAGTAGGAGAGAGATGCACAGTAACCGAGGTAGGTTAAGTAGTTCAAAGAACTGGAAGCTTAGCTGTGAAAGAGTTGTTATCATGCCCTTGGATTCCTCCAGAACTAGCATTCTCCTTTGCTCAGCCCTATGAAAGTAGTACTGCATTCACTGTAAATAAAAATGGCACCATCTACATAGTAAGAATGAGACTATTTGTCAGGATTACTCCGTTGCCTGGGTTGTGCTTTTAGAGCCAAGCCACAACCACCACACTGCTCCAGGAGGCAGGAGTTCTCACCTGGTCTAGTTTGCCGGAGATTGGCAATATCTTTGGTGGGTTACTGGGTTCTCGGTACTGGGGAGGAGGTGGCATGTTCTTCTCGTTGTTGGTGGTCACGTTCCCACAGATGTCCATCTTCACCTTCTCACTCTTACGCAGGTCGCCGTTGATATAGAGGGAATTGGAGACCTTCTCTGACTTGTATGTCTTCTCCTCACCAGAGTAGCGGTTGGAGATCTCCCTCGTGGAGAACCCATTGCGAGACCCCTCCATCTGCCGGCCGCTGCTCTGCGTTCGGGTCCCCACGCTCTTCATGGCGAACTCCTGGTCGTTGGCCACCCCGCTCCCCACGCTCCCCATGATGCTGCGGGAGGTGTTTTGGGATGGCCGAGGAGCAAACCCGTGGAAGTTTTCTGGATTGGGGTACGTTGGGTCACTAAGAACTGGCAGCGTCTCTAGCGTGGCCATGGCAGCTCAGAGGTGAGGTGGAGGCACAGGTCAGTGGCACTGGAAGAAGGAGGAAAAGTGAAGGAATTTTAAAGAGATGCCTTTTTGCCACCACACCCTTTTATAGATCGGCATCATGCAGAGATGAGCAGATCCATGGGCTGGGTGGCACAAGGGCAGGAGCTGTCGTAGCTCGGTGTGTGGCATGCAGGAGGTGATGGGGCTGCCCTCCTCTCTGTGACCTTCAACCCTCCTAGGAGGAGCAGCGCTCAGTCTGTGCCTTAGACTGACCAAAACAAGGCCGAAGGAAACAGATAACATGCTGATAATGGCTATAACGGTTGTTTTGACCTGGTTGCAGCCCCATAACACCTATTTCTTTTCCTCTTCCATTGGAACCAGCCTTCACACGACTGGTTACTGTCCCAAAGCTCTGTCACCACCTGAAACTCCAGTCCTGTGTTATCAGTCCTGGTTTCAAAGACTCTATGAGCTCTATGAACATCTGTGATTTGGGGAAACACCTGAAATGTTTGTGTTTTAGGGAAATTCCCTAAATAGTGGTGGTTACATTAGTGTTGAACTTGCTAACAACTAAGGGGGTCAAGGTCCCTAGCTACTGATGCCTAGACAAGTCTTACAGGGGTACAGTTTATCACTTCCTAAAAAATTCAGGCCTCTTCTTGAAAGTCCCTTCTGAAAATAAAGCTGTCTGTGCACTCTTGCACCCAGCCTTCAGGATCTACTCTGCACTGCATTGGGTCTTATCCCATTTCAAGAAATAAAGCTCACAACAAACCTTTTCTGATTGCCTGATTAGATAATGAAGAATTTGACACTATATCTTATTACACTGTACCTTTGATGCAGGATCCTATTACCTCATACGTTGCAAGGGAAGGGAGAAGACACATTGCTAAGTTTGGATGATTGTAATAAATCCTACAGTCTCTATATTTTGTGAAAACCAATACACTTCTTATTTCTAAGTTGCCTTGTAGGGTCTGCATGCTCTTCCCAGTGCTGCTCCAGAAGAGCTTTGGTCTATCTGGAGTCCCATCTTTTATCTACCAGCCTGTGCAGAGGTCTCTGATGCCTTCAGGTGTTTCAATTCAAACTGGGTACAGCTGAACCAAGCCTGCAGGTGCAGAGTCAGTGGTACATAGGCAGCTGTAGACACTTTCCTTATCATCTCACCCACCCCTACTGAACTTACTGACTAGGTCCCCATGGACAGAATGACTTATTTATTTTTATTTTTACTTTTTGTCCTAGAAGCTCTCAATTTCAAAATTTCCAAGGTGAATCTCCTGCCAGGATGGGTACTAAAGCAGGACTTAGGAGCAGTAGGGGATGCAGGTTTCCCTCTGGATGAAAAAGATACTGAGAAAGTATTGCCCTTTGGATGGAACATTGGTGATAGGGAGGCTTAGAGAGGGCTGGCAGGAAAGGGAGATCAGGAGAGTATTTCAGTGGGGTTTTCCTTCTTTTTGAGGTGGAGTTGTTAAATCAGCTCTTCCCCAGCTCCAGCAGAAGAGCTGAGCTTATTTCTTTGGAGAGGTTACTTAGCTGTAGAGCTCAGCTCCTATGTAATATTGGTATTTATACTAATAATGGGAAACTTGTACTAATGGAAAAAATCACACACATATCTACAGACTTCCTTCAGGGTTACTGCTTGTAGCCTCCTCTATTTCTCCAGAGCCCAGACCTTAAAGAAAACTGCTTCTGAAATGTGGTCTGAGTATGGTGGGGCTGGCAGTGCGGTGCTGAAGGGAGATGATGCAGAGCTCCTCTGGGCCAAAATAGGGAATGGAGAAAAAGCTGTGCCAGGTGGGTAGGATGAGGGAAAGCCAAGCTTGAGTCCTGAGTGGACCTGAAGGAGCCTCTGTGACCTGAGACACACCAGATGTGTCCACCTGTCCGTAATAGGATGCGACTGGTGGTGTAACCTTCTCCATCCTGAAAGGACATCCTAAATCCACCCTGCAACACTGGTCTGGCACTGATGCTTTTTCTGCGTGATCCCCTGATTGGTTCTTAGTATCTCCATCCAACACTGCAATCAGATAAATTGCTACGAGAGGCAGTTATTTATAACAGAACACATTTACGTTTACACACTTGTGCCTGATTTCTGCTCTGTCCATGGATGTGGCTCAAGGTCAGGCTGGATAGAGCTTTGGGCTCCTGGTCTGGTAGGAGGTGGCCCTGCTCATGGCAGGGGTTGGAACTGGTTGGGCTTTAAAATCCCTTCCAACCCAAACCGTGCTGTGATTCTGAGGGCAGAATGAGATCATTGGAAAGTCTGATTCTTCAAAACAAAACAGAAAAGCCAGCACAAAAGCAAGCAGTGTGAGCTAGAAAAGAGAAATGCTCTTGTCTCAGGAAAGAACTTTGGTCTGGACAGAGAGACGACAGTGACCTCTAGGCCACCATGAAGGAAGGTGCCTTATCAGCTCCACCATCAACGGTCCTCATCACAGCCTTTCTCAGCCCTCAGGGACCCCAAGGATCCCAGGGAATGGTTTTCACATCAAGAGGCTTTTGCTTAGGATCACGTCCTTACAACACTGAGACACTGTGCTGACATTCCCATTCAGCCCCAGCGACCCAAGGGCAGATGCTTCAACTGCTGTCTCATGGTATGGGATCAAAGCTGTGTCACAGAGGCAGTCTCTGCAAATGGAACTTTTTTTGCATGATTTTTTCCCCCCTCCCTTTTAACTGGAAGGAATCCAAGAAAATATGCTGAAAAAAAAAAACCCAAAAAACTGGCTATTAGCTTATGTTTACTGTAAACCCAGGAGCTGATAAGCAGAGCATACGGGCAAGCATTTCAAATATGTTTTCAAGGGGATTCCAGAAGTGCCAACAGATCCCCAGCAGTACAGCTTTCTTTGCCAAAAAGGGATTTTTTTTTGGGGGGGGAGAGCGGGATGGGGGGAGAAACTTTTGTTTCTTTTGGCCAGCACCAGTTCTTAGCCAGGTTTTGCCTTGCTCACCCCTTAACTGAACTGTGAAATCAGGTTTTGAGCATGGCTGGGGTGAGGGATGGGTGCCATGGGAACGCTAACTAAAATTGGGTTTATGGATAATTCCCAATGAAAGAAGCAAGCCAGAGCCAAGCTGGGGCTGTGGCTCACTGCCTCCATGTCTGATTTCTTCTTTCGTGGTCCTGCAGAGCTTTTCACCCTGTGTTCATCCCCAAGGACCTCAGCACACTGTGCAACAGCAGCCACAGTATTTATGAACCGCAACCCAACACCCCCAGATTTCATTAGATTTACGGTCCTGTGCTCCCTAGGAAGCCTCATTAAACACAACCAGCCTAATTAAAGCGTGAGGCGGACGAGATGAGGTAGCAAACAACGCAGACATCTGTCCTGCTGCTCCATCCATGGTGGGACCTCGGGACTGGAAAATTCCCACTCTGCCCTCCAGCACCTGTAAGGCTGATGCAGAACTGGGGCTGTGCTGGCTCTCTGGAGACGCAGCTGTTCTTACACTGCATTAGCAAATTAAAGATGGAGCATCAGGCTGGCGTCTGCTTTTTGGCAGGGCTACAGCCCATCTAGTTTGGCCTCCCAAGCTATTTTTTTGATTTTTTTATTTTTTCTCTGCAAAGAGCTTTGACTTTCACCCGCCCCTGGGGAGCCTATGAGAACTGGTTGGTTACCTTAACCCAGTTAGCTCTGCACAACCCAGATCTCCTTGGCACAAACCAAGCAGCAAACCTTGAGAAGCGTTTCGTTCCCAAGTTCTTTCTTTAGTTGATGAAGGAATGAGAAGCATAGAATCATGAAAGTTGGAGAAGACCTCTAGGATCACCAAGTCCAACCCCAACCCACCCCACCATGCCCACTGACCACGTCCCTCAGTGCCACATTTCCACGGTTCTGGAACACCTCCAGGGTCGATGACCCCACCACTCCCTGGGCAGCTGTGCCAGTGCATCACCACTCTTTTGGAGAAGAAAATCCCCACTTAGCATGGCTGGGTGGTGAAGAGATCCCCAAGCCATGCAAGTAGGGTGGAAGTGGATCTGCAGGAATCACCTTGGGAGCACCAGGGCTGCCTTCCTGTCCTCACTGGGCCCTGGAAAGCACACCTGTTCCATCCCACCATCCCAATGCCCATTGCAGCTGCAGCCACCTAAGAGCCAGCCCTCAGCCCTTGCCCTGCCTGTCACTCCCCAAAGCCCCTTGGCTACAGCAGAACCAAAGAAAAAGACTTTCTGCAGGAGGAGAACTGAACCTTTCCAAAATAATTCCTGATCTAATTTCCCACTTCCAAGCGTTTGCGTGTTCAGAAAAGCTGAAAAGGGTTTCTTTGTCTGCCTGGATTGATGCTTGTAGGCATTTTCCCAACAGCACATGTCCAGGGTCCAAGCAGGTTCCCTCTCCTTCCACACCCTTCTCCACATTGCATGACTTGCTCGTTCCATCTCACTGCAGGGTTATGCAGCCTTTCCCCGAGGAGCCATGCCTTGTGCACGGTGACAATTTTGCATCTAATGGAGAAAACCTGGGGTGAGATTTCCTTTCTCTTGGACGTGGTGGGTGAGTCCTTCACGGCTGCCTCTTAGCATAGTTTTCATAGATTCCTAGGCTACAGCTCCACTGCTTTCACACTTTGCCTTATCCAAACGAGTTAGCAAACGCCTTCCAGTTAAGCAGAAGAAAAATTGCTCTCAGATAAGCAGCTGAATAGTTAACTAAGCCTAGATTATGAAGGCCTGGCTCCATTTCTGCCTGAGCAGGTTAATTGTTAACACTCTAGTAACAAAGGCCTTTGGGAGACATACCTAGGCACTGTGCCACGTGGGAGGGAAATCAATCGCTGCTCACAGGCAGGGCAGGTGACAGCAAACAGCCTGAGAGCAATGCAGTGTGTTGGAATGCTCACGTGTGGTTCCTACTTTCCTCCTCCTGCAAAGGCACCCAAAGGTCAAAAATCCCCCCCACGCACCTCGTAACAGGTGTGCCCACGACCTTGAGCTGTCAAGTTGGTTTGCTTGGGTTTTAATGAGCATGCAATTAGTGGAAGGGTGTAAACACTCGTTTCTGTAGGACCTACACCTGCACAGTGCCTAGGGTTCTGTTGGTTTTCCAGTTTGTTGGCACTGGTGCCAGAGAGGTATCTGGAGAACAACGTAACACAATTCTTAGGACAATGGAATGGTTTGGGTTGGAAGGAATCTTAATAAACCATCTGGCTCCAGCTGCCACGGGCAGGAATGCCTTCCACTAGACCAGGCTGCCCAAAGCACCATCCATCCTGGTCTTGAGTCATCTTGGTCCGGGGTGATGGAACAGGATAGGAAAAGTGTCACAGGATGAAAGTGCTGTGATCATATCAGCTTCTTCCAGAAAGATGTATGGATGAAGAAGGGAGGACCACTAATAGGCTAGCTGTGGGATGACAGCAGACTGCAGGGAGCAAAACCACCTGTGTTTGGAGGTTAACAAGCCCTGGAGGAGAACTAGCACTAAAATGCAAAACCTGCAGTTAGGCTGGGCAAGTACCTCCTTGGAAGACCATAGAATCATTAAGGTTTGAAGGATCATTTAGTTCAGCCACCAACTCACGTCACTTAGTGCAATATCTACCCTTTTCTTGAACACCTCCAGCAATGCTGATTCCACCACCTCCCTGGGCAGCCTTTTCTAATACCCCACCACTCCTTCTGAGAAGAATTTTTTCCTAATATCCAACCTGGTGTTTGAGCTTGAGTCTCAGAAAAGCCCCACAACCTCAAAGGTTGCTGCTGGGGTTGGCATGAACACCTTGCATTCCCAGGTAACACCTCCAGAAGCAGTAATGAGACGGGAGCCCACCTCCTGTCCCTGCATGGATTGGTGTGGTGGGCATGGAGGACTGCTGCAGAGGTTGGATGGACCTGCTTCATTTCTCCAGCAAGGTTTTCTTTGTTACTTCTGCTCATGTACTACCTTCTTATGGCCATGCTGGGCCCAAAGCAGGCCAATCATGGAATCATTAAGACCACTAAGTTCACCTAGTCCAACTTGTCAATCCATCCTCATCATGCCCACTAAACCACGTCCCTCACTGTCACATCTCCATGTTTCCTGAACACCTCCAGGGATGGTGAC